CCAGTGGGTGCTCAGCCATCCCAGTGAGAGCTCAGCCATCCCAGTGGTTGCTCAGCCTCCTGTTTCTGCTCCGCTCCCCGCTCTGTGCTCCACGTGCTGCTCCGAACCGGAAGGATGGAATCACCTCTCCTGGGACTGGAATAACATTGCTGTGGATTCCAAATCCCTCCCCGTGGTGAGCACAGAGTAAATAACTCCTGGGATGCTGCCAGCACAGCTACACCGAGGTTAATGAATAAACAACCGCCTGCAGCACTGACTTCCCCGCTCTTAAAATATATATCTTTGGTTCCATCTTCGGGAGAACTCCTCTCCTATAAATAACCATTCCAACAGATAAAGGCATTAAATCTTTTCTTTTTTTCCTTTGACAGAACAGAGATTATCAACATTTATACAGAAAAACTGCTGTTAGGCAAACAGGCTCTTCATAGAGCTTTTTATAGAAAATGTTGACTTTATCGTGGAAAACAGAACACTAGAAAACCAGAAGATGCAAATATAGAAAGGGACATTCTGGAAATGTTTTCCTTGTTTTCCTCATTTCTTCCTGATGGGAGATGCTCTCAAAGCATACATTTCCAGGAAAACAATGAAGGAAGCTTGGAAAAGGGGAGATTGCTGTGAATTAGAATCCTGAGGTCACTGCTGAAAATAGGATTCAACTGCTTGGTTATGGAAATATTACCCTAGATGTATAACGGCTTTAATCTAATTAATCAAATTATTGAAAATGATTTAATTAATAATATTAAATTAATTGATTTAATAATCAGTTTAACCAACGCAATAGCTTAGGTTTCCAAGAGTGCCTTGGGTGATTTGGAATGTCCAACATGAAGGACAACAAGGAGAAGTCACTTTGCAGTGCACTTTGTGGGAGTCTCTGCCATTCCAGGGGGCTCAGAGCACCTTGGAGTCATTTGTCACTTGTGAGAATCTAGGTCATTTACTCCCCTCCTCCTGCTCTGCTTTTTTTCATGCCAAATATAGAACGAATTTTCTGGCTTCAGACTGAATCAAGTTGTTAATTACACTCTTTCCTAAAAACCTGCAATTGAAATTCACTTGGGGAGTCTCTGAAAGCTGGGGAAAGCTATTCTTTCTTATAATATTCTTTTGACATGTCTTAGAGGAAAAGAGAAGAAAGCCCATTTGCTGTTAATTTCTCAGTTTTGAGGATGATATTTAACAGAAGTAAATCCCTTTAAGGGCTCAGTTCTGCTCTTTGAAGCCAGTGGGAAAAAATCCCATTGAGTTTCCTTGCAGGAGAACCAGCTTGCTGCTTTGAAAAGTGATGTTAAACAATCTGCAGGATGTTATGTGATGCAAGGAAATTCATTTGTGCCAATAGGTGAAAAAGATGGGAACCCTGCATGCACCAGGAGTGGTATAAAAATAACCAGATTATTTCAGGGTCTACCTCATCAATGAGCTCCTGGTCAAAGGATGTGGAGCAATTCCATGTTCAGTTCCTGGTGCTATAAAAGCCTCTGGGTGTTGGTGTAGCACACCTGCCTCCCAGGAATGTTGAGAGGTGGAACAGATGGACTAACATGCTTTGGAGATGAAAAGTGCTGCTTGAGTATTATCAAATTTATTATTAATGATGGAGCCATTAAAACAATGGGATGGATAACGACAGTTGATTCTTGTATCAGTGCTTTTGTCTTCAGAACTCTCCGGGGCAAACTCTGGTGTCACTGAGTCACAAAGCTGCTCTTGGTTTCAACTCTGAGCAGATCTGGCTCTGCCCAAGCCTTAAATAACTTTTTTAAAATCCTGTTCCCAGCTTCCTTCAGACTCAGAGATTCCTGTCTCCACCTGTCCCTGTAGGTGGCCAGAAGAACTGGGTGTTTATTGCCCTAAACCCAAGGGAAGAGCAGCTTCCAGACTGGGCATCATTGAGGGAAGAACTCATTTATTAATTATGGTAGGGCCTCCAGAAAGTAGGGATACAGACTTCCCCAGCCATCCAAGCCCTCTCTCTACTGATGGAGAGGGATGGGCACCTCTGCAAGGCAATATCTGTCTTAGGGGGAGAAAATTGCCTTCTGAGCACGAGGGAACCAGAGCTGGCTTTACTCCACCTCATTTTTGTGTGCCTACAGGTGAGTGGGAGGATTCCAGCCTTAAGTCACTTCTCCCTTAGGATGCAAAGGGTTGAGAACTCCAAGAGATGCACATTTCTTTAGGCTCCAAGGTGACAGCAATGCAGGGAGAGCAGCAGCAGCCTCCCAGCAAGGAGGTGACTCCTCTGCAAAGAGTCCAGATGGAATCCAAGTTTCAGCTCAAATCCAGGAAGGAAAATCTAAGCAGGAATTTGGCCAAGGACACGTGCAGCTGATGGAGCACAGAGCAAATAAATCAAGATGCAAAGGGCTCTGCAGAATATGGGGGGCATCCAGAGGCAGCTGGTTCTTGCCCAAAGCGAAGGGAAGGCTGATCCTCACAAGTGGCCCAGACAAGAGGTGGGACAAGAGACTCAGATGTGGTGACAGCAGGAGTAAGAGCAGCTCCTACAGGTAATATTTTCTCTGACTTTAGCAGCTCAACACTTGCACTGAGTTTTCCCTCCATCCCTGTGCCTTTGACATCCATACAAACCAAGGCCCCGTTAATGAGCCATTGCATATAGATGAGCTGGCAGCCAGTCAGAAAAGCCACACATAAAAGCCAAAGAGGGCCCTGGGCTCTCCTGCTCTGACACAGAAGCTGTTGGACCCACGTTCTGTGGAAGTTCTGTGGTCTGAGGGACACAAAGCTGGGCAGATTTTCTCCCCCCTCCCTTCTGTGCTCACCTTCACCGCGTCAGACCCAAGGTAAGAGGCTCATGGCCACAGGGTTTGCTTGGGAGCTGCAAAAATCCCCAACCTGTCCTTGCTCGGAATCGTCGTGTCAGGACTATAGAAGGGAGTCAGAAAATCCTTTTCTAGTGGAATGGGATGTTTGGATTCTAGTCTGCCTTGCCACTGGCTCACCTTTCCTTGGGCAACCCTCTCTGCCTCAGTGTCTGCTCCCACTAACCAGGCTACTGAGGAAAACATTGCCCAAGGGAATCTCTGCATCTGCTGTGGTCATCCAAGATAAGGAAGGCAGAACATTCAGGCATTACTCTTCTCTGGGAATGGTGAATGGATTTGTGGCAGCGACATGGAGCTGGAAGGGCCTTAAAATAACAGCTTTGTGAAAAACTGGGGTGGGATAAGCTGGTACAAGCTCCCAGCATATTAGAGTTGTGTGGGAACTGTTGTTTTAACCCTGTATTAGCAGCAGCCACGAGGTCTTCACCTCACAGTAACAAGAGCTAAGCATGTGTAACTGGGCAGTTAACAAGGAGCAGCTACTGATTTTCACAGCTAGACCTGAAATTAGGGGGTTTCAGTCCCCCAGCACCAACAAGCCCCCATGTTCAGCTGCACAGAGACGCAAAGAGGTTCTCAAAAACTCCTGTTAAAACAAGTAACCACCCCAAAATTATCTCCCATTTTGGGCATGACAACGTGTAGTACATGGTTCACTTCCTTAATCTCACAGTCAATTACTTTTCTCAAACCAAATAAACATCAGCAGGGAAAGGGAAAAATCTGCATATGTGTTAGTAATAAATTTAAAAATCAGGGCATACCACTTAAGGGTTGACTTGTCAGAAAATGGTAATTAAAAGTGTTCCAGCTGACAGTGCTGCTTTAATGAATTATTAGTAATGTTCTCTGAGAACATTGGATGAAAGACACCATAAGAGTTCTTACTTAAACAAACCAATTTTCTGCATGATGCAACTTGGCCGCACAAGAGGAGGAAAATCTCCATTATAGAATCAAATTACAAAAATAACCAAGTAATGGTTTGAATGATCAGGAAGGAACAAGTGCCCATTCTGTACCGATTGCCTCTATTTCCTGTACCACAGCCTTTCCCCATAGGTCCTGAGCTAATAACTGCCATTATTTTCTTACATTCTGTTTTGGATAATGTCTGATCACTCCAGAGGCTGCTGGATCCCAAGCCAGCCTTGCCTGGTTGAGCACAGGGGGCTGGACAAGGCAGCTCAGGGCACTTGGGTGAGGAGGTGGATGCTGGGGATGGATCAGAGGGCATGGACCTCCAGGGATGGGCTCTTTGGGTGTTTAAATTTCACCATCACCAAGTGGCTCTTTGTGCCCTTTACTGTTCAGTACCTGATGCAGTTCCTGTTCCAGACAAACCCAAGCTTGGGGAGCAGGGAACAGCTGGGGAAGTGTGGGGGGGCTTGGAAACACAACCCTGCTTAAGGGGAGCAATGTGTGGAGCAGGGAAGGATGAGGGCAAAGGGCACTAAGCCTTAATCATGGATTTGTGTTTGGGTGTGAGGAGCCGGGGGCTGGGAGCTGGTGGGGAGCTGGTGGAAAGAGGCTCTCATGCCTCATTTCCTTTCCCTGGGCTTCTTGCTGCTTTCCAGCTCCATCCAGATTTGTTGTTTGTCCTTGACTGTTTCAGGAGCAATGTAAGAGGGTGCAGCTCTGGGCATCCACCTTTCTTGGCAGGAGTTCTGTGGACACCCCCTAGAGCTGGTAAGCAGGGCTGGCCCCGGGGAGCTGGGTGGGTCCTGGAGGAGGGTGGTCGTGGTGAAGGCACTTTCCAGTGTGGAGTTCAGAGCCCCTTGCCCCTGGAGGCTGTTCTTGTGTTCCAGCTGTTACCAGCAGCTCACCTCAACTCTGAGGTCTCTGGACTAGCAGGAATTAGGGGAGTTTGCCACAGGAATGCAGCTTTACCTTCCAGGCTGCCACAGACCCATTGTCTGTTCCATGTTCAGCACAATCCCCAAAAAGCTGTACTAGCCCTACATCCCCTGCCCTTGGAGCAGGGCTGCAGCTCAGCCTGCCCTCAGCAGAAAAGGAGCTTTAGAGCTCAGATCCAGAGGGCTTTGTTACCCCCCAAAGGTGTTCACAAGCCCTCTCTCCAGAGCAGGGAGCTGGGACCACACCGGGGCTGAGGGGCCGATGAGTTCCCACACTCCGTGCTGAGACCTCACAGAGGTAAGATGGGTTTGTTCCTTTCTTGCTTTCACCAGGCAGGGTTTGGACATGTGAGCATTCCATGAGAAATGCAAAGGAATTTCAGCTGGCTCCTGCTTTAATAAACCCTCTGTGCTCTGGGGAGAAATGTGCCCAGAGGAACCACCCGCCAGGTCACCAACAGCAAGGGACTGCTGGAAGCCCTAAGAAAGTCCATCCCAAAGAGGAAAACAAGTTACACCAGTGGCAGGTGCACCCTGGGAAACAGCCACTGAGCTCTGGGGGGGCACCTTGTGTGGGGATGTTTGCTGATATCGAGAGAAGTTCCTCTCACTTCCTTTTTCCATTTCAATGTGGAGGTTGTGTCTGATCTCGTGCTCACACAGTCTGGTGATGGCCCAGTGAGATGAGATCCTCCTTCAGTCCTCAAATATAAACTGTAACTCTACTGCCTGTCTTAAAGGAGCTACCTGGGCTTTTCTAACATTTTGAGGGGTAAAGTGAGGTAAATCCTTCGCAGGGTTTCCACCACTTCAGTGGGACTCTGGAAACCCCCAGTGACATCCCCAGGTTTGCTGCATAATTGAATTCTGCTTGAAATCCAGCAACAAGGGTTTGAAAGGCTCATTAATGTCTGAGGTAAGAGCTTCACTTTGGGAAGTAATTTAGTCTCAGGTTCAAATTAGGCACTTAACAGAGGCAGAAACTTAAAATAGGAGTCTTGGTACCTTGTGTAGCTGATGACCCAGGGAAGGTTGAAGCAATTCACCTTGAGATGCCAGTTCTAACGAGAGGGAGCCACCAAAGTGGGCACTTCATTAAGTTCCCTCAGGTTGTTTGAATGAATTGACACCATGGAAAATTCCAACAAGATTTAAGCTCCTAAATGAATGGGAAGGATGGAAGATGCCTGAGCAGGATAAACTGCATTTGCCCCTGGAACTGAGACAGGAGGAGATGTGTAAAGGATATCTAAGAATTCAATGTTTTCTGTCTGGTTTTGTCTGGAGCAGAAGGACCTCCTGCAGGAAATACATTAGATGCTGAACAATAAGAGGCAGAAAGAGCCACTGGGCACTTGGTGATGGTGTAATTTAAACACAAAGCCTTGCACAGTGTGGGAACTCATAAATCTAAACTTAAAACTTTCCTTTGCAAAAGGACCTGCAGATCAGCTTAATATTTGTCCACCTCCAAACCCCTCTGTTCCACTCCTTGCTGAGATATTATTCATGCAGAAGCTTTTTTCCCTTCCTGGATAATAAACAAGTTTCTGCCAGGACAGAACTTGAGCATCTCTTATTCAGATTCTCCCAAGCTCTGTGCCCCATTACAGTTCTGACCCCGGGAAGCTGATGCTGCTGCCACAGCACCACATTCAGGAGGGCTCAAAACTTTGCAATCGTTGCATTTTTCCTCCAATACCCTTGTTTCCCTTCCATCTTGTGAGTAGGTGGGGAAACAGGCACAAAGGGGAGAATATTTGTCCCATAGTACACAAAAAGTCAGGAAAAGTCAGGGACTGAGCTCGGGTATCTGAACTCTGGGAAATGCTTTATCACTTGACTGTATTTTCTAGGTCCTGCAGCCAAAAGCCATTTTATTAGGACAGATCAGTTTGGTTTGGGTTGAGACACAATACACTCCCTCAGTTCACTCCTTGCTGTGAAACAGTGAGGAACAGAATGAGCTGAATACTGGTCTCTGACCCTGCTAATAAGTTGATTTAATTGGATTTGATTTTTCAAATGTAACATCTCAAGTCAGCCATAAACTCTGGAATTAGCATAGCCTGTCTCAGCACAGGAGAGATTTTCAAGGAGCAGAAGGAGATGAAGTCCATGGCCAATGAATTTCAAATTACACTGAGGATGAACTCAGCCATGTGCATGTCAAACTAAAACTGTGCAGGCTCTGAGAGCACCAAGCAGCAAAGTTATTAATGGCTCACATTTGCTATTAGGAATGCAAAGGAGCTGCTTTGCACCCAGTTTGTTCAGATGTCTCTTCACATCAATGACCCATGTGACGGGTCAATAATTCACTCAGTGCACACTGAAAGCCAAGAATGTCTTGCAAGTCAATTATACTTAAATAAATAATTAGGAGAAGAGAAGGAACTGAAGGACTGGACTAGAAAAAGCTCTGCTGGTGAAATACTGCATATCCCAGGGAAAGCAGAGTGTTCCTGGCTTTAGATCTTTAGCTCATGTTCCCCAGTACCTTCAAAGGGTGCTGGCCCCTGAAAGCAGAAAATAGCCATAAAAGGGGCAATTTTGAGTTTTAGTATTTTGGGGAATAATCAGGCTCCTGTGTAACTAAAAGCTATTTGCTTCCTGCAGGAGATGTGGGGGAAAGTAGGACATTAGGCAAATAGCTGCCCACTGAGATTTGATCCTCAAAATTTGTTCCTGAAATTTGTTCTGCTTTCATGGCATTACATTGTAATAAATCCCAGGAACATTTTACCCAATCTCTGGGCACAAGCGGGCTGTGATTCAGAGGGACAAAATTCGCTTCATCAGGCCTTGTAGGAAAGAGCAGCAAATGCCTTTAGCAGCTCTGACTGCAGCTGGGAACCTCTGAAATCAGCCTTTTTCACAGCCCAGGTCCTGGGAGCTCTCAGAGCCGTGGCAGGGGTTGCAGGGTGAGCTGTTCATCCCTGCACACTCCTCTGGAGGGAGGGCTCTTATCCCACTCCGGGCTGCAGCAGCCAAGGAGAGCTGGGGGAAGGGAACTGTGCAGGTGAGACAAGATGTGTCTGGAGAGGCTGTAGAAAATCATCCAAATCAGGCTGCAGGAACCAGGGGCAGGACAAAACCTGCCAATCACGGGCTGCAGCGTTCGGGCTGGAAAGAAATCTTCCAAACTATTGCTGGCTGAGAGTCTCATTGTTGAGCCTGGACTGATGACATGCACGGCATCAGCCAGCAAGGAGCTGCTCCTGCCTGACAGACGTGCAGGGAGCTGGGAGAGGGGCAGGGAAAAACACCAGGCAGCAGATGATGTGCTCCAGTGTCAGCTCAGCACATCAGACAGGCAGAGACAGGCAGGAATTCCTGGAGCAGAGAGCCTGTGTTCTCCAAAAGGGTACAGGGGAACGTGCATCTGTTCAGGAGTGCAACAAATCCTTTCCCTTTTGAACAATTCCCTGGGGTCACCGCAGGTTTCTTTGCTTTGGGGACGTTCAGGGAGAATTAAGAGGTTCCATCCGTTCCTGTGGTACCACCAGAGCCCACCTGGCTTTGATCACAGCTAAAGGGGGTTCCTTGTGCTTCTGAGGTAAAAAGCAACTTCAAAAACTCAAGTCCAAAATGCCTATTGATGGAGAGCAAGTCTGGAACGATATTCCTTTCAACACATCTGCTGGAAAACTTCTGAATGGCAGACAGGGCACATTCAGAGGAACTTAACACGTGTTAAAATCCCTGTCTAAGAGAAACTATGACCCTCAGTACAGAAATTCAAGAAACAAAGACAGCTCAAGTGGAAAATAAGGCCAAATCCAAGCAGCAGCAGAGCCAGGAACAGGCAGAAAAATAGCAAAAGAACTAATAGTAGAAAAGACTTCCATAAACTATATATCTGTGGGATTTACTGTGAGAACACTGTTATTAAAGGAAGGGGGATGAGAGGTGCTCAGTAATGAGCAGCAGCACAGAATTTAGGCCTCAGTGCAGCCTTTAATCCCTGGCAACTGAGACAGGCAGAGATGGAAAACTGCTTTACACCCAGTTCAGTGACAGAAATGATCCAAGGGAAGGGCTACACATACACACACACTTTCATCTTGAGAGAAAGCCCTCCTCACTTTGTTCTTCGTTTACATGAAGGAAGTGATAAAGTATGAAAGAGCTGCCTTTCTGTATGGAAAAAAATAGCAATAATTTCTATTAAAGGCACAGCACTGCTCCTGAAAGATCTCAAAATACTTCAAGTGGCAGCTGTGTTCAGGGATCAGCAGTTACTACTGATGCATCGAGCTGCTCTGACAGGGCAGGGCAGCCCAGAAGTTGTAATAAAATAACTCTCTACATCGTGAAACCCCATTCTCAACCTTAAAATAGTCTCACAGTTGCATGTAAAGTAGTGAAATTATTCTTCTTTCCTTTGCAGACAGGGACATGAGTTAGAAAGCAATGGAAACAGTCTGAGACCACAGAGTCAGGGCCACAGATCAACAACTGCCTCTTTCCAGATGAATCTTCCTGTCTCCTCTTCACCCATCTCAGGGGAGGCTGCAGAGAGCAGCTCCCACCTGCAGCTCATCTGGTTTCTCTCCAAGCCTTTCCTCTCCCAATCCTACTGCTCAGGGCTTGGCATTCCCAATGGAAAGCTGGCAGAGCAGGGGTTGAGTCTGGCTTATCAAGACCAACGTGACAGTCCCTATCTGGGCTGCTCTGGTTGGATTATTGGCACCAAACCAGCACAGCACAGTGGGAGTTTTGCCAGCTTAGAAATCAAAGTCACCTTGATAACCACCAAAGCCTGGGCTGCTGAAATCAGAGCCTGACTGAAGGTGAGGACAGTGCTCTTCACGTTCCAGGAAAATATTCCTGACTGGGGTTTTCCCTGGTGCAATAAGCAGGTGAAAGATTGCAGCAGAGCAATCTTTCATTGTGAAATTCATCCCAGGAGTTCATACAGGCACCTTTCTGGAGCACGTCCAGTCTGGATCCTGAAAACAAAAGGAACACTACCTGCTGCAGGGTCACCCAGGTTAGGGATTTATTTGCCTTTCCCTCATCTCCCTCAGGTTCCTGCACAGGGATTATCCCAGACCTGACAAGGAGTCCATCAAATCCTGTCTCTGGGGCTGAGTGTGCAGTGTGTGACCACAGCAGGGTAGTTTATTCTGAGTATTCCTTTACCATGTCTCTGTTCTGGAGCTGGAATTGGCTGTTCTCTGAAATACTGGGAGAAGACTTTATATCACAGCAAATTTGCTTTCTTGCTTTTGTTCCTTTAGCACAGACAGAGCAGCTTCCTGCTCCTCTTGTGCATTGAGTGAGCAGAACCTC